TTGACGGCGATAGTACCTCACGAAATTTGATTCTCAGCGCATTCGAGCTCATGATACCAGTGTCAATTAGTAGTGCGTCAGATAACTACTGCCTTTGAGTTACGTATCTCACGACCTAACCGCAAACCGGATCCTTGAAGGCTTCGAGCATGTTGATATCTCAGAGCATTCGAACTCACGATTGCCAATGGTCAACTAATAGTGTCTCAGATAACTGCCTTTGAGTTACGTGTTTCACTATCTAACCACGAACTCTCCTATCCTGGACTTGGTCGAATTCAGTGATTATCTCTGTGAGATAATATGCAACTAATTATCGATAATTAACTTGATTATTGAACGAAACACATCATTTGTTTTGACAATTCACACATAAAATGTGATAGGGCAGTGAATCTGAATTCACAGTCTGGGCTTACTGGGTGTACTGCCCCCAGGACCTCCGGCAAATAGCTCTCAAGCAAAGTTGCGACGTACCGCCTCCACGCGAGGCTCGCGCCGCGAGCCTGGTTGGCTTCTCTACGATGTAAAGCCTCCGGACGTCTTTCAAACCGCGCCATTTAGGCGCGCATCTCCTCGATAGTCCCCTGAAACGGAGTCAACCCTTGTATGTTCATGGGGCGAACAACGGGCTCCGGTGTTACAGGAGTCCGGCACGAGTCACGTGGTATACTTCTGCCGTTCCTTGGAAACGATGGAACATGCTCAGCAAGTACGTCTCCTCATTCACTTGAGCAAGCCGCGTGACCTTGCTACTCCCACGAATTCCAGCCACACGTTCTTCTTCCGCCAGTACTTCCTCCACATTGTCGAAGGAGGTGCAATTCACCCCAGGACAACTCCGGAAGTCGCATCGATCCTGCTTTTCGACCGAGACTACCGGAGTATCCGGGAGGATCACAACCTCCCTAACAAAGTCGAGAAGTAGGTTGGCCTGAAAAATATAATATGAATCATCAAATCTTCACTAGAGCTCACCTGGCTTTGGGAAAGGCCTTCCCATTTTAGTGGAATAGGTAGCACAGATCTGTCGACCATAGCCATCCAATTCACTAGTCCCCCGCTCCGCCACGGACGCCTCCGGATGAGCCCGTGAGACCATCTCGGTTAAAGCTCTTCTACATTACTAGGATTACGTTAAAGCTCTTCTACAACTTGTAGAAGAGCTTGAAGTTTAAGCTTTAAGCTTTTACGTTAAGGTGCGTAAGACGGTTTAGGTGCATTCGTTATGAAATCACTTGCCGTTAGGTGCAAGGCACCTAACTAGGCGCCTAAACGTAAGGTGCTCCTTAAGGCCCCAGGAACGGGAGTGATTCCTTTTTACCAGGGCAATGCCGCCTTTGCAGGGCAGAGCATTCGCTCGCCTTAACGGGTTCACAGTGTCGTCTGAGGTTGTAAAATCCAACGAATACGGGTATGCGGGAGGAAAACCTAAACATGAAACCCGAGCACGAGCCTGGTGACTCTGTGACGAGTTAGTTTCGGTTTTCCATGTCATAGCGCCAGTGAGTTTCAGGCCGCTGTAGGTCTTGGATGGTCAAACCAGCAGATAATACTCACTTGTGTGACCATAGTTTGTGAATGTAGGGCCCTTCGCCGCCTAATCGTCGGCGACACATGATGTCAAATGAAATGGGTTAAAATGATCGACATCATGTTGGATAGTCCATCTAACCGTCCAATCGGGCCATTTATGGTCGTCAAGTGAAAAGCCTGTACTAGTAGTACAGTACTACAGGCGTTCTGGTGGTATACCATCCATACGTCACTGGCGATTGACATCGCCGTACTCAGGGTTGGTAGTGGGTGGGTTAAAATTTCAGAATTCCCTTGTAGACCGATACCCACGGTCATGTTCGCAAGTAGCTCAGCTCTCATTAAGAGCCGTACTACTACTGCGAACTACAATTCTATAATAGAACTTCTATTATAGTGATTGCTTGCTCATTCATGATTCGCTAAGGTGCTTCAGCGTTACACAATTGTGTCACAAACTTTAGAGTGCGTTGTGTTGGTATGGGCGTGCGCGTGGTGATACCTCCTTCCTGGGATTTCACAGACACTACATTCGTTAACTCATTCCGTTAATCTGAGGGCAAATCTTTTCTAAAGAATTTAGAAGTGCGCAAGGTGTTTTTAGGAAATTAACTATGCGGAAGGCTCTGGTTTCTTACGAAGTGATTGCGTTATGTTGAATCGTAAGTTTATCGGCTACATTCGGAGCTGAACTGGGAACGGTTGGGGAAGTTTTGAGTAGCTCTCGATCGCGAAATTCTGGATTATCCATTTTCGTACTGCTAAATCGGCTTTACTGAGTATACAGGTTGTAGTTTGGTAATGTTTTTCTTTGGAGCTTTATTTTTGGGGCTACTCTCGTACAGTTTGCTGAGGAGTGGACAAAGTAAAACCGAACCTTTCATTCAGGTGGGGATATGATCCTACAGCATTTGCAGGTCAATTTGGTATATTATTCGAAATTTTGATAATTGAAACAAACCAGCAATAATTTCAGTTAATGCATTGAAGCCAGCCGGTAAAAAGTTGAGAAGGAGAGCATATTCTCAAAAGAAGGGGGTAAATTACCAACGATTCGGGCTGAAATTAAATCGATCTGGAAGAGGTGTAGTTGGCTGTACAGGGACCCGGCCGATACCTTCGGGGCATCTTCCGACCCCTGGCAGACTCCTGGGCCTCAGGCAGTTCGATGTAGAATCCATTGGGTGATGGGAGTAACATATCGAGTGAGGGCTCTCTCGAAGATGCAAGCGGAAGCTCTCGCGGTGGTATTGGGGAGAGTCATTTCCAGAGTGTTGATGGAGGTCTTAACAATAATGCAGGTGAAAACAGAACCGGGGGAGACGTGAGCGAACGGAGGGGGTCATTCGCAGATGCTCATGCTGACCTCGGGTCAGGAGATGATGGGGATAGACTGAGTCTTCGTGGTGATATTATTCAATTATTTATTACCCCTTTTAGCTGGTATCCGGTTTGCATGTTTAACGCTGTCACGTTGTGTCGGTGGGTTGAGTTGTGAAGTGTCCGGATGGCGTTTCGTTGTTGGGTTCCTTTCCACTATATGTCGTATGTAAAGGCCTTAGACGTCGGAACTGGACTGCGGGGGGGCTATGGCAGGATTGCTCATCCTGGGGAAACTGTGGAGAGCTCCTCTCGGCGTAGTAAGCTTAGGGGCGGTAGCGGGTCACCAGCGGGCACGTTGAGATTGGTTGAGACGCCACATCATCCCAAGGGCAAAGGTGGTTGGGCAGGCCATAACCGCTTTTGCGGAGGCCCCAAGGGACAGCATCATGAAGGGAGGTGAGGGGAGCAATGGAGCCGCGCTGTGTGGACATTGAGGGTTTCAGTGATGGCCCCAGGGCACTCGGACAGGGTTTCATCGATAGCCGGGAG